AAAGTACAATTTAACTACTAAATTTAAAGTGTCATTTAGCTTGGTTTCAGACCGTTCGAAATTGTAATATGTAATAGTATTTTTTATTGCAGCATTAATTTTGTTTTCGATAATTCTTATATCAATTCTACGGATAACCAACGATCCCTACTTCCGTTAAAATTTTATTTAGTTTTCCTATTTATTTATATAAAAGTGAAATAAATATTCCGAGAACCTTCAGAGGCAACGAGATCATTTTATGACTCAAAATATATTTTTTGAAATCAGGCTAAATACCATCCAATTTAACGATGCATTTGCTTCATGCAAAACAAAAACAAAAAACAGCGACGTGGACATACAGTAGAGTATACATGTACATGTTATATACAAATGCCCGAGTAAGGTGACAAGCTACAACACTAGCAATAAATTGGGCATTGTAAGTGCGATATTACAAATGGGATATTTGGAGAGCTAGTCTGACCACAGAGGGCTCTTTATTGCACACAGTTCATTTTTCTTTTAATTTATTGGTTTCACTAGAAATGAAAATATTATTGCTTAGCATTAAAACTAAGATAGTGACAAAATGTTAACATATTTCTTACATGTTTCATATTGGTTTGTTTTTTATTCGGATATTAGTGAAAGGCTACACAGGTCTATCTTTACATAACTGTCAATACTTTTGAACTTAAGAAAGGCAAGTCAATATCACTTGCTGTCAACTCTTAAGCTATTCTAATCGAATATTGAGATTTTATCGTCATTTATAACGCATCGACGTCTCCAAATTGTCCGCCCAAGTTTGCGGCAAGGAACGCGAACCATAGATCCTCGAGTTCACAGTCTAGCACGCCGACAACTAGGCCAATCCCGGCCCAAGTGAATGGGTAAAATTCCACTTGCAAAAAAGACTACAAATACTAGCTTGTATAATTACTTGATGATGTAATTCAGTAATAACTATCCTTGCGTTAAAGGTTCCTTTAACTCTGAAATTACCAATTTGCTTGTATAACGTTCACTATCGTTAGGGTCCAATATTTTATCCTACAACACTCAAAGTAAATCAATAATTTTCTATGTAAATATACAATGGACACCATTGTTAGTTAGTGAGGTCAATTGCAATATTATTATTTTTGTCTACATATTTTGTATGGCTTGTGTTATAAGGGACTCTGAAACGAATAACCATTGACCCATAACCAACAGGATGCATAAATGGTTTAGAGATATGCTATTTAAAATGTTGATGGTAACCCTAACTGTAATTCTATGGTTAACTGTGAGTTATCGATTTTATTTTTTTTCTAAGTGTTTCCCAGTTATTACAACTGAATAAGAGTTTAAGTTTTCGTATTACTTCTGTCATGTTTAGTGTTCGTCTATTTATTTATATAATTTGTTCAGCAATTATCTAAGTATTAAGCAGTTTTACAAGTTATTATTTATGAATAACTTTTCTGCACAATTTAGAATTAGTACAAGAGTAGCTTTTAATTTAAACATGAAAATTGATAGCGTATCTATACGTTCACACATTGTTGTGTATTAAGTTACTTGTGGAATTAGACTGATAGCTCAACTACGGCCTTGATATGTCTGATAACATACCAAAGACAAATACAGATACACATGTATATATAGAACTTGTATTTTTCATCTACTTGTTATAATTTCTGTCCAGCTGATTCGTACCTACAAAAATACAATGCTTAATTGTTGCTCCACATTTTTTTGTCGACACAAAATCATTAGAAATATATTACATAAGGAAGAAAACATTTAAATGATATGGCAGTCATCATTACTTCTTGTACAATTTAATAAGATGTATAGATTACATAAAACGTACTCTATCCCTCCCCTATTCAATTAGTTAAAGGAACAGGTAGCATTCTTACCACTGCTGTATTTCACCATGTGCATTTTGTTAACGCGTAAAACGTAGTGTTATCAGTTTTTGAACATGAACTTTAACCGGAAAATCTGTGATCTAGGTTCAACTGATAAGGTGCGAAATACAAACAGAAACGGATGCACAAAGAAACGAGATCTTCAACGACAAGTACAGGTATGCATTATGATTGTTTTATATCGATATTTGACATCCCAGGGTCCATTGCTAAGCATACTTTCAGTAAATTAACAAATATATTTTGACGATCCTGTATTTTGTTGAATTCAATATTGTAGTTATAGATCTTAAAAACAGGAAAAGCATTCTTAAAAAAATACAAAAATATGCCGCAGTCTATCACAGAATATTAATCTCTTGAAACTGATCATCATTCTTGGATTCTTTCTTCTTATTTTGATAGGGTATTTACTTGAATTATCAAATATTATTTTCCGTTAATCAGCCATTTTTAGAAATTCTGTCTCGACAAAACACTGTACCAGAAATAATTTCGTAAAACAGAATTTCTACTCTAATTTAGTACCCCGGTGGGTCATCGATAAGTTTACGGACTTACAACGCTAAAATTCGGGGTTCGATATCCCGTGGTGGACTAAGTATAGGTAACATTGTGTATCTTTGCGCTTAGAAAACAACTACTCTAATATACACTTCACTTGATGGATCGAGGGAAAAAAGTTTGGAATATATCCATGTTGCTCATTGAATAGGTAATTAACATCTTTCGAAATGTTTAAAAATTAGGGAATTATCTTATGATATTAATACGTCATGCTATGTGAGGTTCCGAATATTCTTTAGGTTATAAGTTACAAAAAATGGACGTAAGACACATCAATGGGTAAAAAAGGTTAATGTTAATGAATAATATTTGTTGTGATAACATTCCTGTACTGGATGGAGTCAGCAAGTTAATATTTGTTGTGATAACATTCCTGTACTGGATGGAGTCAGCAAGTTAATATTTGTTGTGATAACATTCCTGTACTGGATGGAGTCAGCAAATTAATATTTGTTGTGATAACATTGCTGTACTGCAAATTAGTAACGAAATGTGTATCTTAATGAAACCGTAAAAATATATCAAATTCACTACGTAATTTATCCATGCGTAGTAAAGGAAAACGGGCCATAGAGAAAATCTTAGATTGTTTTAGTTAATTTGATATACAGATACGCAGTGCATTTTCTACCTTCTTATTTTTATGTAGAATTTTTCAAAATTTGCCGTCTGTTCTATGTATGTTCGATTTTTACATAACACATGGTTAAGAAAGTCGTTAAATTGATTTTGTTCTACCTATTTTTGTTCTTTGCCATTCCCTAATGGTTAACACTTGACCTGCCCATAGGAAGTTATAGCTGTAAAGCTGCACTTTGTGCATGAAGGTTGACAGCAATGTCCTCCAATGGTAGGTCAAGCGATGCCTCGAAATTACAAACTCTCTTACGTTTGAATGGCAATGACCAGTCGCGTAGTTAGAGGTATTTACTCTGGGTAAGTCTGATATTACAAATTCAACTAAATAATGTAAGATTTACAGTATGGAATATAATTTTGAATGAATTAGCTTGTAAATAAGTATTGAGGGAATAGAGCCAGCATGATCAGTTCACAACTCCAGTAAAAGTGACTGTCAACGTTCAACACAAGTACATACACTGTGTTTGTGATTATCAATAAAGATTGTTTTCATTGTCTTTCACACTTTGTGCCAAATCCATTTATTCCTTACTACAGACATGGTTTTAGCAGAAATATTGTTCTAAAGTTGTGAATTCTTCATATAGTAAGAGCATGAAGTATATTAAATCATAAGTTTTTATTTGCCAATTTGGAAAACAATGGTCTCAAATTGCTAAAATTTAGAAGTACTGGAGAAATGTATAAATCCAAATGAAGGCAATTCCATATAAATGGTTTGTTTGTTTGTAATTAAATACAAAGCTATACAATGAGCTATCTGTGCTATTCCCACCACAGGTATCGAAACCCGATTTCTAGCGTTGTAATTTCACAGAAATACCGCTGTACCACTGGTAATTTTCATAATTTTCAACAAATATCAACACAACCGTACTAACCAAAATTTAATTTTATTTATTTTCTCGGAAGTATTTTATTCTACAGATTATAGAATTCTATAATTTGGATTACACTTTCGTGTATTTTCATGGTATTCTTAACTTATGCTTGTGGTATATAATTTTAAGAACTTTGAGTGAGAGTAAAGAAGAATATATAACAATTGGTCAACCATACTATATCTGCTCTATACAGTGCCAACGAGGTCTTTCGCCTAATACCAGAGCTCATCATGCCGGCTGGGGGACGACAGGCACAGTAGTGGTTTAGACGCTATTTATATTATTAGATGGCATGCTCAACAACAGTTATGTGCGAATTAGATTAAGTTGGTGAATATGCCTTTACACATTTTGGGTCATTTGCAAATCAGAATTAAGATTAATAAAAAGGCAGTTTGCAGCTCAACACGTTTCCATTTAGTAAAATCCACGGAAACTGCCACAAGGTATTCTGTTAATCTATTGTTTCTCATCAAAAAGACGTGATGATATAATTTAATTAGCAAGTAAGTTACAACTGGAAGCCAGTTTTTATAGAAAGTTTTATAGATTAATACTAACGCCTGCCTTTAATAAATGACGTGTTCTAAGATATGCAATAGATTTTGTTCCTACTACGCTGGTGCTATCTCGTGGCAATTAGTTATATAAAAAATTTTCGTTACGAAACAAAAAAGAAATTTATGGTTTGCGACAGATCTTAAACAACCAACAAATATGCAAGATATTTGAAAAGGATGAGTAAATTGATAAACTTGGTTTATGTATTTTTACTGAAATTAATAAATTGTGGAGAATGAAAATACGTTTATTTTGTTATTTTACATTTTTGATTGACCATTTTAACATGAAATGACCCAAATGTGATATCAGTCAAAATATATTTCAATTCAATTTTAGGAAGTTTTCAGGAATTATTTCACTTTTTTTTTTCACCCTCTAGGTACAGATGAAGTTCTTTTCAACGTACTGGTTTGTTGTTGTTTTAGGAGCAAACACTCTGGTAACTGTACAGTGTTTCAGTGCTTCGGAATGTGGGCAGGGCTTGGAAACAGAGTGGAATCCTTTTCCTAATAAAGTAATCGGTTTTGACCAGTCTAAATCAAACAATGCTTCCATCAAAGTGAACCAGATATATTATACTGATAAACTGGAGACCTGCTTACAAGAATGCTGCAGTTCCAAATATGGTAAAGAACCTTAGTAGTAGAAGTAATAACATTAAGCTGCAAGAAATATTGTTAACACCAAGGCTGCTCAACTGATAAAACAATGAATTCTAATCATTATATGCAATACAGTTTGAACATTCTATGGAATTAGCTATGATGATCGCTAGGTATTCATTTGTTTTGTTTTGATATATGTAGGTAGTTTGCTTTGATCAAAAGTTAATATTAATTATAACTCCAAACTTGGCAAACACGAAAACTCTTACGCTGGCAAATCTGATGAAACATCATAGTAAACTTTAAAATAGTTTTAATAACTCCTTTTTTTTTCTCTTATCTAATATGACTTTCAAGTAAAAAAAAAACATTAAGAGCATTTCAGTACATTCCTAAGACGATGCTAACGAAGCATTTCACTCAACACCCAACTTAACAAGACGAACTAGCTGAGAAATTTAAACTTGAGAGGCATTAGGTTACGGAAGTGTATAATGTCCAAGCTGGCAAAAAATTTAGCCTTTTTTAATGAATCAAAGGTTATGAGACATATGAGTGAGGCTGGTAAATAAGAAAACTGTCTGCAGGCAGTGAAGGGTGACACAGACAGAAATGGAGCTGGAATACCAACGACATGAGGTAAGGTTCCCTTACTTACCTCCAATGGTAGAGCCTTATTTTCGTTTTTTTTTTTTCATTTCACATTTCTTGGAGCAGTCACCTTCTCCAAACTGTCTGCAGGCAGTAAAGGGTGATATTTTTTTTTAAAAATGGCTTGAGAACCACATCTTGCTCTCCTAACGTTTTCTTATTGTATGTTTATTTATCTTTCTTTAATTTGTTTGTTTGTAGTTAAGCACAAAGCTACACAAAGGGCTATCTGTTCTCTGCCCACCACGAGTATCGAAACCTGGTTTCTAGCGTAGTAGGTCCGCAGACATACCACTGGCACTGGGGGGGGGGGGCTTCTTTCTTTAACATGCGAGACTAGCGAATGGAGGTTAAGACTGATAGATGGTTTATCCCCACCGCAACTTGGGTCCTTCTTTAGCAGTTGCCTCCCAACCCAGGGAACACCTTGAATCTCACACTATTGGCAGTGTTCTGGTGATCTTTTTGATTTATGCAGTATTTTTGTTGTAGTTGTTAAGACTTGTTTTGATAACTAAAATGTTTTTTCCTCACAGGTTTAGGCTTGCAGTTTCTAACACAGTCCTCTTTGATATTAATCTTTGCTTGACTGTTGAAATAATATTTATATATGTACACACACATACACACATCTTTAACTGGTCGGATATGGATATCAAGTAAAAAACTCACTAAATGCGTCCTATGAGATAACCAGCACAATGCAATTTGAATGTAATAATCAATCCACGAACACACGTTTTGGCCATAAGGTGATTCATTCAATATTTTTTGTGAGAGAACCATATTGTCCAAAAGTCAGAACGTAATAAAACGTATATGACAATATAAGATTATATACAAATGAAAAGCATTTCAGCGTTTGTAGTCAATATATATCATTTAGTAACTATTAAATTAGGTTCACAGTTGTAGTTACGCCTAAGCAACTTTCAGTTTAATCTGAGATCATCACTTTTTCTCAGTGCAGTAACATTATTCTAATTGATAAGACTCTTTCAAGACTATTTAACAGCTAGTAGCTTACTTTCATTTTCAACATTTGTTTTTGAACATTTTCCAAATACAATATAAATACTACTGTATTTATAAATAGAGGATATGGCTTTTATGGCATTCTTTGCAAAGTATGGTTTAACTATGGGCTATATGGGTACACGGTGTTATGTGGCACACATGATTTTTATGCGTGATTTTAGAAGTTCTGACGCATAAGTGCTACATTTTAATAAAAACGTTTTCCAATGTTAATGTTATCACTTGATTTGGGTTTCAAGGTTTTGTATATTAAATTGCTTCTTAATTATGTACAGAAGTATTGTGACAGAGATGCTGTGCTGTAATAATGTGGTAAAAATTTATATGACGTGGTCTTTGTCGAATCTAGCTTATCAACACATGGAAGCTCCCCCCCTCCCCCACAAAAAAAACAACTGAAATTTTATAATTAAGACCCAAAGAGTGTAATTTTCTACTGGTTACTGATATTTCAATTTAGTTCAAGCAGCAGGTTAAACTTGATATGAAATAAGTAGTTAAAATATGTTAAAAATGTAATTTATTTTGATAAAAATCTTCGTTTAACCAGGCTTTTTCATCGCTTAAGTCAGTTTCTCTCATTAATAGATAACTTAGGACTATTCAAACATTGCATCATATTTTCATTTCGTATATTTATTTAAAAATTTTATTCTTTAAATGATTCGTAATACTCCAGTGTATTTGATACAAATTGTTGTTATACTGATTATTGTGTAAAAAATTAATATCACAAATGCTAATTATCCAAACCTAAAAACAGAAGTTTCAATTCATTATTTTATTTCTAGGTGAATGCAATATCCTGGGATATAGTAGGAAAGGATTTAAGTTCAACTGCTATCATTGGTTTTGTTTTCCTTTGACGCTGTGTGTGTTCATGGAGGCTCAAGGCACCGACTCTTACATACTAACAGAGATTAATAAAATAGCTAATGAAACTCATTTTAACAATGCTAAAAACTTTGGTACTATTGACACAAAAATATCTGCTTCTAAGATGAAGACCATGACAACAACATTCCAGGCTGGTTACAAAGAAAGAACACAGGAAGAGAGCATACAGTACGAACCTCAAGATTTGGTTACTAAACCTACCCTGAAGCTTAAGTTAAATCATGGATTTACCGACAACAAAGAGTTTCAAGATAATTTTGTAACAAATGCTGTATCTTATGCTTCAGTCGCAGTCGGTAACGAAGATACTACAAGAACAAAATCTAACTTTGGTCTTCATAAACTAGATGGAGCTCCTTCTGGGACTGGAAACGAAAGAAATAGTTTGTCACAGAAACATCTTAATGAGATGAAAGATACCGAGAATGATGACTCGGCTGCAAATTCAAAAACATCTTATGGTTCGAAGGATACTTTTAATATTTCCAATGAGAATATTCTTACAGGTAAAACAAGTAAAAAATTTGAAGCCAGTGTTGTCTTTAGTACCGGAAGGAATAAAGAAAAATCAATAGAAGTTAATGACAATAAGGAAGTTGTCACTTCACCAAGTTTTGATATTTTTTATTCAAAATCTTCACCACCATCGTCTTTGGATAAGGCTGAGCTTCAAGATACTTTCAATAATTCTCACTTCATTAAGGCTAACAATTCACATAACCACAATACATTTAAGCTAGTAAATTCCAGAAATATTTCTGCGTCAGTATTTCCTTTCGATATTGTGAACAAGGCTTTAAATATAAATATAAGTTTGACGACTTTTGACGCCACAATCGGCAACACTTCAGACAGAGACACCTACATCATCGTTACTAGTCATAATAATGCTAACAGAACGTTAGAAATAAATTATGCCTTTACGTACGAAAACAATTTAAGTTTAAATACGTCATCAATTCATTTGGTTATTGTTTTAATAATTGGTTTAATAATAGTGTTGATAGCAGTAGGCTTAGTGGCGTCGCGTGTTTACGGAATGTGGCAACGACGCCATTATTGTAAGATGGACTTTTTAATTGAAGGCATGTACCATTGACAAACCTAAGAAAACTGTCATCAGTAGGTGTTCCTCATATAGGCATAAAAAAATATGTATGAGGCATTCGTGATAGTTTCCTTTCCCATGTTATTATAGTTATCAGAAACTGTCTACTTGTATTTAAAACCGTGAATTTTCTATAACGTAAGCGATTTCAAATCAGATTATTTTTGAAGACTAAATCTGAATGTGCTCATTCGTGTTCGATAAAAGAATAGTTTTAAAGAAATCTAAAATGTTCAAAGCGTATTTTGTAATTTTTTCTAATTGTGGATGCGTTGCGATAGAGAGATACGTCTTATTACATCAGTTTTTTTAACTATAATGTAAAAAAAAAAGAATGTGAAATCAAATATATGCCCATCTAAATATTTGTTGACCAATATTAAATATAAAACTAAAAAATTAATTATTGTTTATAGAAAATTATTAACAAAAATATTAATTGAATTGATTTGTGATTTTCTTTTGTCTAAATTTTATTGAAATTGCGGTTTAAAATATTGATATGCCTAATTTGATCAAATAGAAGCATATATTTGAATTTTTATGAAGCTAAATAAAAATAACTTTTCTATTTTATATGTGAAGTAGTGATTTACCTCACAAACTGAAAGTTAATATACGTTTCAATAAATAAAGCATTACAAGCTTTCTTTCATGCAAGCTACTTATATGTCTTTGAATTAATACTTTAAATAATTTTGTTTCAATAATCAACTTTCAGTATATTTTCACGTATAATATGCAATTAAGCTCGTATATTGTAAGACATTTCGACAAATATTAATGTTACTGGCATCAGTGCCAACACCTGAGATGCAAAAAACACTAAATATCGAGTGTGTATAAGTTTTTAGTAACACAGAATCTGCCTCCTATTTCATCGTTTAATTGAATTTTACATTAATCACATTTAATATATCGGAATGAAATTCCTGATACAAATAGGCACTAATAGAAAACAATCATAATGTATACTTATTCTTGGTTGATGGTTTACAGTCTAGCTCCTAAGATCAGTGGTCACTATCTCTTTGCTCAATATGTCATAGAAATGTTACGTAAATTTTAATCAATACAAAGTTTTCGTTAAAGACAATTTCATGTCGTTGAGTGGTGGTGGTGTATTACCTTGAATGTCTACAATCAATCACTTGACACAAAAAGTAGATTTCGGTATTTGCTCTAATCCAAATACTTGCCAGTAGCTTAAACCAATATCGAGGGAACAAATGCACACTTGTTTCTGCATAGAAGGCATTATAGTTAACAGTATTTGTTTACCAAAAGTACTCTGAACTGTACACAATAATTACAGATACTTAACAGGCACTGCTTGAAGGTTGAATTAACTATCCCTGTAGCACCCTGTTCACTTCTTCATATGTCTCATTACTTGTGTCTGACGGCAAATTCCATAAAGTCTGTTTGATATGCTTAACTTTTCCTGTGTTGATAACTCGATGTATTCCAGAGTCAAGTTGGTTAGCCCAAGAAATCCATGTGGGCTTTAAAAAAATACAAATTTTTAAAGAAAAACCTGGTTAATTTTTGTTTTTCTAGCACTGTTATATAAACTTGTTTGAATTAACCGATAGTTCAATATTTTCTTATAGTATTTCCATTAGCTTATCGTAAGTAACCTCAGGCACCAGGAACTAGATTCGGGTGTCTCTCACAAGATATGGAAGGATATTGTCATACCTGATTGAACATACAATTTATTCTAGAAAAATGGGGAGATTAGTAATAAATGCATTTTTAACTAAACAGAAGATTAATTCTGTAATGAAGTTTCATAACCTAAAAATTAAATCATATTCACATCGGATGCTAATTTTAAAAATAATATAGCTTCCTCTCTTGTAGATTCCATCGCCAAGTGATGGTGTATAAAAGTATCCTGAATAATTTCCAAAAACCTATCCCCCTCACCGTCTGACTCAAAAATGTTCACAATCAATACCCCTGAAATTAAAATCTCCCATAATAACAACATATTTTTCAGCTACCATTCTAATCTCATTATACAATTAACTTCTACATTCTGAGCTAGTGGTCTATAACAACTCCCAATTACAAGACTTTTCCCTTTATATCCACTAACCCAAATCTCAGTGATATTTTCATTAATATCCTCTAACTCAACAAGATGCAATTCACTCCTCACATATAAAGCTACTCCTCGCCTTTTTTCAATACTCTCTCTCTAGTAAATAATATGTAGCCTTGTACTTCCAAAAAACATTTATTTCATAAAAATTGTTCAAATCCAACCAAATCTCAATGATACCCATAATATCAAAATCCTCAGTTTCCACAACCGCCTTGAGCTCATCATTTTTATTTCTATTACCCCTAGCATTACATTACAATAGTAACAATTAATCATAGATTTTAAAATTTATTTATATTATATGCCTCTTGTACATGTCTTCCTGTTAATTATATTTCATATTTTACTAATATCGTAGCCCTCATCTCTGTCTAGCCCTAGTTTAAATATACTACTGCAGCTGAGTTAATAGCCCTGCCTTCTTTAAGTATAAGCCATCCATTCCATAGAGATTAACGTTCCCATTAAAATTATCCCGCAAATCCAACCAGCCTATTTGCTCATCCCTACATATTGATCTAAGCCTAGCAGTCAATCCTAGTGACCTACTTATTATCTCATCCCCTCAATTTATTCTTGGCAATATCCCTAACAAAATCAAGTTATGATCCCTTTCCTTAAATGTCCTTATCAGTGTTTAATACTTATCAATAAGATCCATTTTTCCTTGCATCATTAGCCATAACATGTACCACAAAAACCCCATTGCTACTAGAACCCTCAATTATCTCTCTGGTTCTGTCAGTTATATCCTGTACCCCTGCTCCTGGATAGCGCAAGCATATTCTTTTGCTCCTATTTACTCATGGGAAAGATAAACGCGTTTAATACCAGCATCTAGTTCCTGGTGCCTGAAGTCGATTACGTTAAGCTAATGGAAATACTATAAGAAAATATTGAACTATAGATTAATTCAAACTAATTGTTATAACAGTGCCAGAAAAACAATAGAATTACTAATCATAGTATTTATATCTCATTTATAAAAATTTAGAAAAAAGTGAACATTTTCTAAAAAAGGATTTTTCTGGGAAGTAGTACACAGGAAAAGCGTTCGGTTGTGCTGATATAAACTGTAATGTTTTTATATATTAGAAGTGGTACCCTTTATTGAAGAAATAACAGTTTTTTTAAGTCTGTACATGAGAGTTTGATTATATCTTTATTGATGCAACTTGTAAATATTTTTTTGGTAATATATTTACAAATTACACCAATAAAGATATAATCAAACCCTCACGTACAGTCTTAATGAAAATCATGTTTCTGTTGTGAAGAGAATACTTTTATTTAAAATTGTGTTCTGTGATAAAGAAATGGTTGTTGCACATACAGTAGTTGTTTCTCTGTCTGAATCTAGAATACCCAAAGTGTTAAATTTTTTATGGATTTTTGTTTCTGATGCCATTCAATAGATGGTGCCACGTGGCATTTATTATTTCGGCCTTATACATAAATACATATATTCACGCTACGTCCATTATAATAAGGTCCGGCATGGCCAGGTGGTTAGGGCGTTCGTCTCGCAATCTGAGGGTCACTAGTTCGAATCTCCGTCCCACCAAACATGCTCGTCCTTTCAGCCATGGGGGC